GCGGTCGAGCTCCTATTGTATCCATGTCTCCATATCCACCGCCGCCTGGGGTTCCGGGGGATCAGCTACCCAGGCGGTGTATCCGCACAGATGCTGGCCTCGCACCCTCCGTCTTTGGTCGTCTCGTCCTACCTCTCCTCGGTTCTGTGCTGCTGCAGTCGGCGCCCTGCTTTCTGCCTGGCGCCTGCCAGGTCCGGGGCCAGGCCCGGGGCACGCCGCTCGTTCCCTTCCTTTCCGCCCGCTCGCCTCGGCCTGCCCCTGGTCTGGGATGGCACGGCCCTTGCTCGAGCGCAGTCGGCAAGAGTACAACATGGCCTCGCCGCGCCCCGCCAGTGTTGCGGAAGAGGGGACATGTGATGTGTGTGTGTGTGTGTGTGTATGTGTGTATGCATGCATGCATGCATGCATGTATGCATGCATGTATGGATGTATGTATGTATGCATGCATTTATGTATGTATGTGTGTGTGTGTGTGTATGTATGCATGCATGCATGCATCTATGTATGTACGTCTGTATGTCTGTATGTCTGTATGTCTGTATGTCTGTATGTATGTATGTATGTATGAATGATGGGTGGATGGATGGATGGATGGATGGATGGACGGACCAACATATGGATGGATGGATGGATGCATGTATGTATGTATGCTTGTATGCATGTATGCATGCATGTATGCATGTATCTATTTATGTATATATTTATGTAGGTATGCATGTATGCATGTAATGTATGTATGTATGTATGTATGTATGTATGTATGTATGTATGTATGTATGTATGTATGTATGTATGTATGTATGTATGTATGTATGTATGTATGTATGTATGTATGTATGTATATATGTAGATAGGTAGGTAGGTAGGTAGGTAGGTGTGTATGTATGTATGTATGTATGTATGTATGTATGTATGTAAGGCGTGTATATGTTCACACATATACATGTGTGTGTCGGTGTTGTTGTGCTTACGTTCTTTCGTTTGCTAGTTGGCTCTTTAGTCAGTTTGTGAATTCGTATGTGTGTGTGTGTGTGTGTCAGTGTGCGCCTGCAGCCCGACATCATAATCGATACGTGTCCGACGTACGCTGTGGTATCTTATTTTGTGATGAGCCTAGGGTGTTCGCACGTTGCTTAGCTGATCGCGCTAGTACTTTACTGTCGATGACGTCGCTGCTATCACTCGCGTTGTGCCCATTCCTTTTCGATCAAGCGGTTCCGTTTTCCAATTTCGGGTCTGCCTTGAACGCTGCTGAGCAATTGTCAGCTTCGTGACCGATCATGCTTATATGGTTGCGCGTCCGGTATGTTTTGCTGGCGACATGGTCGGACAATGCCAACACTTTGCCGAATAGAGCACTTCCTCAGATCTCCGGCCTGCGAGGTCAATCATGGCGTGGAGTCGCCAACAATTGTAGGCCTGAAGAGCGTGATGTCAGAGCCAATGGACCACGTAGCGACTTTCGACAAGTTATGGAAGGATCGACCACTTGCGGGGTATGGGACAGCGAGGAAGCTAGGAGACTGTAGGTCGTGATATTCGGTGCAGCATTGATGAAGCATGCTGCGCTGGCGTCAGTTAGAGGCTGCACCAACAGACCATCCAGAGAATCGTATTTAGCGACTCCAGAGGTCTTAGCAGCGTGCGTTGTCTATCATTCTGCAGTGCCCTTGCCAGTGTCTTTACTCGTTTTCCTTTGTCTCTTGTACTCTCTGTTGTACTTCGTCTCCTCGCCTTTGGTGTGTGTGTGGCAAGTTTGAGCTGGTGCGGCTGCTGGTTTGATGGCGATCTCCAACGTCACAAACAGTGACCTTTCTAAATGTTGCGTGGCCCTCTGTTCGGTACTTTGTCTGTCCCGCTCATCTCGCATATACAGTCGGGGCCCTGAAGAAGGAACCCTTTTCGTTGGGGAGGGGCTCCGCGTTCCTTAAGTGTTTCACAGTTTGCCTCAGGTTTTCCTTATGTTTTCGATGGGAACTCGAAGCTTAACTTATGGAAAAAAGGGGCCTCGTTCCTTATGTTGGGTTCCTTAGGTCAAGGCCCCGACTGTATGTCGCAAGGAGTTCGTCCAGTTACTTAAACATCCAGGTCAATACGAAGACGGTGTAAAGGAGTGGCGCGCTCAGCTCCGGGTTTGATCTGCCAGCGGTTCGTTCGACGCAGCCTAGCTCTCTTGCGGAAGTGGTTTGCGACCAGGAGGTTCAGTCATGTACATGATACTGTGATCAGCAATCCAGTCGAGATATCACAGGCCATGCATCGAGTCTTCCTCGCACGAAATTGAGCGATTGACCGTTCAGTGCGGTCCGCGGCCCTGTTTGCATGATCGGAATCGTCTGGATTGGCCTTGCGCATCGACATGGGACAATTCCGAGGCACCTCTTGCAGTGACCTGCCTTTTTGTTTGTGCAGGGCGTTGAAAGTTTACACACCTGCGGATGTGCGAGATAAGGGAGACGCCGATGGGCCAGTCGTTCGTGGGACAGCGGTCCCATAGCTATGACGGACAGCGATCGGACGATACCCCGAAGACGGCGCCAGCACGGGCTCCGAGGGCCATCTTCGGCCACCCCAGAGGGCCCCGAAGAGCGCTTCCATGGCTTCGGGAAAGTCCGCGCGACGCACACCAGAAGCGCTCAATAATCATGGGAATCCAGGGTAGGGGCCCCTTCAACATGTTTTTTTGCACTGGTGATGAATGCTCGACGGGACTTGAGGACACTCCACTCAGTGCTTCGCGGCACGGTGGCGGAAATTTCAGATGGATCAACAATTTGGATAGGTTGGTAGACTGTGAATATGATGTGGATACAATCCGCTTCAGAAAGGCTCCAATTTCCCTCCAAAGTTGTCTTGTGGGTTCATGGTTGGTCATCATCTCGCTTTCGGCGGGCCTCCAGCCCAAATAGCACCATAATTTGGGCCGCGCCGGGTTATGGAGCACGCAGGAACGCCTCGGTGCAACCCCTGTCCTGGGAACACTTGAGGCCACTAAGATGCCTCCTGGGATCGCCTTGTGGGTCTCCTGGGAACTTGTTGGGAGCCCGATGGGGACATTTTGGCGGCCTTGGACAGTCTTGGGGCATCATTCGGGTGGGCGAAGAGGATGAGGGGGTGGGAAAGTACGAAGCCTGATTCATGCAGCTTTCTATGGCTCCGCCTTCAGGTGCTCTCCTCATCACATGGCCGCCACTGGCGCCGGGATATTCCTTGGCATGCAGGTGCTTTACGGCCCCCCCTCACTGTCCACTCCGCTTTCGTTCTCCTCCACTCGTGGAGGGTTTTGGGACTCACCTGTGGATGGTTCCAGTGCCGTCTGGGGCCGTCCCACGGTTGCCTAGGAACCTTGGGGGAGCTTTCGAAGGCCCTGCAGAGGGCGTCTTGTCTTGGGCAGTCACAGCGTCTTTTTTGTGTCCGCAGAGCCGAAGCACAAACGCCGTTTACCATGGCCATTTGGTTGCAAGTCTTTCAGGGTCGCCCTGCAAGTGCAATCGAAACGACTACGAGTACACGCCATTCACTTGCCTTCCATATCGAGCATGATGAGACACCCAGCTTTGGCGATGGTTTGTTTGTCAGGACCCGTGGTGGCGCTGATGGACGTATCCCAGCCTTCTCTCCGTTCGGCAGCGATGCAGGTAGCCGCAGAGCTTGTGCCGCCCCCGGTGTTTGTACCTGCGGATCCTTCGGCGAAGCCTGCGCCGACACCGGCGCCTCCCATGTCATCGGAGGCGAAGGTACCGTTCCGGCTTGTGCTGACGGCGAAGAACGGGTCCCTCACCGACTTGCCCAAGAAGATGGCGGACAATGTTCGCCGGACGCTGGCCTTAAACCCCGGGCTGCAGGTGCGGTTTCTCAACGACGCGGAGTGCAGAGATTTCATTGCGAATAATTTCGAGCGTTTGCTCTCCGTGTTCAATGCAGAGAAGAGGGGAGCCTACCGGGGTGATATCTGCAGAGCGGCGGTGATTGCGCTAGAGGGCGGCTTTTACGCGGATCTGGACGTGCAGTTTCGTGTGCCACTCTCCCAGTTGGCGGATGATTCCACGACCTTCATGACTACGTTCGACGTGACCTGCTATGCTCTGAATGCTTTGTTCGCGGCGGAGCCTGGCAGCGAAGTGATGCGATTTGTCCTAGATGCTATCCTACAGTGGTACGCAGAGCCGTTCCATCTCCCAGAATGGTGGATGGGCACCAAAACGATGCTTGACGGGATGGCAGCGTTCGTGGCGCGCAGTTGTCCTGAGGTGAACCTCCAGAACTCGACGTCGCTCCAGTTCGGCTGTGGATCGCGCCAGCAGCTCCGGTTGTACAGAGAGAAGCGCCTCAGGTGCGACCGTTCGGCTTCCAAGGCGTTCGCGTGGACGCAGAAGGAGTGCCCGCCTGCGCGGAGCAGCGGGTTCCCCGGGGTTCGATTCGGCATCTTCGAGCCGGGGCCGGAGAGGAACCTCGTGGCTTGGTCCCGCTTCGAAGACTGCACGAAGTGGGGCTGCAACGAGCGGCGAATGAAGCAGACCTGTCGTGGTTAGCTCGCTCCTGACTTTCTCGGGAGTCGGGGCGGCGTCGGTGTACGGGACGTTCGTAATGCTTTCCCTTTCTCTTACACTTATCAACTAGAGCCACGTGCGTCCTTCTTGTGTGCTTAGTTTCTAGTGCGCTTCAGCTCCGTCCTACAATAATATACTTTTGCATCCATCGCGTGACACCTCCGCGCGACTTCAATTGGGCAAAGCAGCAACCCGACAATGGTGTTGGAATATTGACTTGCTTGCGCATGCCTTCTGGTTCATCGTGGTGGCACCGTAGCCGTACGGCTGCGACGGCACCAACAACTCGGTTGCGATGGTACCCATGGTCAATCGATGACTAATGCATCTGGTCTTGACAGGTGTTGTGACGTCTTTGCAAGGTATATGTGATAATTCTGATGGGATAGTAAAACGCTCACGCACGTCTACACCCATACGCAGTTTCGACGTGCGTCAGCATAACAACGAGCTTATGTGTTAGTGTAGGTGTTTGCGCACCGTGCACGTGAACATGCGTATGCGTATACGTTTACATTTACAAAGCGTTGACGCAAGCATGCCCATATCAGATATGCACAACTGCGCACATATGTTGTTCATTTTACTGTGGAGCAGTAAACTGTAGATGCGTGCATGTACGTATGTACGTATGGATGTTTATATGTCTGTATGTCGGTAGGTAGGTCGGTAGGTCGGTAGGTCGGTAGGTCGGTATGTATGTATGCGCGTACGTCCGCCTGTCTGTCTGTCTGTCTGTCTGTCTGCATGTATGCACGCATGCATGCATGCCCGTCTGTATGTTTGTATGTATGCATGCATGCATGTATGTGTGCATGCATGCATGCATGCATACATGCATGTCTGTATCTATGTATGGGTGAACGGACATGTGTCTATATGTATATATATATATATATATATGTGCGTACGTTTGTACGTAATTATGTATGTATGTACCTATACATGCACATATGTATGTACTCATGCATGTACGCATGTATGTATATATGCATACATGTATGTATCGATGTGTGCATGCATGTATGTCTATCTGCGTGTCTGTCTGAATGTAAGTATGACTATGCATATGTATATGTATATGTATATGTATATGTATATGTATATGTATATGTATATGTATATGTATGTTTGCATGTCTGTATGTATGTATGTCTGTAGGTACGCATGTATACATGTACATATGCATGCATGCAGGCATGCATGCATGCATGTATGCATGTATGTATGTATGTCTGCATGTATGTATGTATGTATGTATGCAGGTATATATGTATATATGTGTATATATACATATACGCATGCGTGTCAGTAGATATGTGTGTATGCATGTAGGTACGTATGTTCGTATGTACGTATGTACGTTTGCATGTATGTATATATGTATATCTTGATGTCTATATATGTGTAGGTACATGCATATGTATAGGTATATTTATATGTATACGTATATGTATATGTATATCTATGTGTGTATGCATATGTATGCGTATATGTATATGTATATGTATACCTGTATATATATATATATATATATATATATATATGTATAGGTACGTGCATATGTGTATGTTTATGTATATGCATTTGTATTTTTATATGTATATGTATATGTTTATGTATAGGTATATGTATGTATGCAGGTAGGTAGGTCGGTTGGTAGGTAGGGAGGCAGACAGGCAGGCAGGAAGGCAGGCGAGCAGGTAGGTAGGTAGGTAGGTCGGTAGTTAGTCAGGTAGGTAGGTAGGTAAGTAGGTAGGTCGGTAGGTAATTAGGTATGGATGCAGGTATGGTCGCAAACGTGAATATCGCTAGGCTCCCCTCGCCTGCTCTGCAAATGCACGCTTGCTGCCACACGTGATCGGCGTGATGGCTCAAGGTAAAAGGGCCCGGCTCCGTCCCGCCGTGGATGGACGAGGGTTGGCCCGCCTGTCTTTGCGACCCTGCTCGCGGCTTGGGGCGCGACCTGGAGCGCATGCTGGTCTTGGGGGCAGACGTTCGTCCCCCCTGGCGCTGGCGTCGCCGGCGCAGGCTCCGCTAGGTCACTGCGCGGAGGACGCCTACCACTGCTGCTGCGACGCGGAGCTGCGGCGGATCAGCGACCTCCAGGCGGTTTGTGGGCGCGGCGTCGGGCGACGGAATATATACGTATCCACTGCCCCCTGGCCGGGCCCTTCCTGGGCCCGGAGGCCGTGTGTGCGCCCTCCTGGCCAAGCCAGGAGGGCGTGGCGTATGCACCGCTGCTGAGTCCGGGATGGGCAGTGGACGTGCACAGATTTCGTCGCCCGCTGTGTGGGCGCTGCGGTGTCTCCTGCTGGCCGGCCTGGGGCTGCTGTCCGAGCCGGCGCCCGGCGCCGGAGCGCTGGGCTTCGTGGCGGGCGCCTGCTGGCGCTGCCGGCGTCAAGTCGGCATGCCCCTCCAGAGGAGGCAAATTCCCAAAGAGTCAGCAAAAATAGTCCAGGGACGATGCTTTTGCCATTTTTGAGCTTTCGTTTGGGTTTTTGGTTTGGGGGGTTTTCCAACTTCCAACAACAAATCCATTTTTTTGGTTTTGCTGTTTTTG